CTGAAGAAAATCGCACGCGCCTTGCTGCCTATTGGACAGCTACCCTTTTCGCACTTGATTCCGGATGGCGGGTCGGCCAAATTGGTTTGGAGCTTTCTGAGTGTGCCCAGGAGACATGGGATGATTTGCGGAGGAACATGAGCGCCGTCCTGGACGAGCTGCCAAGATCCTATCAGGAGACATGTGCAAACATCACCAAGTTGCTTTTTGGAGAGTCCCGAAGACACATTGTGCCGACGGGCAGGTCATTCACCAAGGAGGACGTCGAAGCTCAACAACCTGACACTGAGGACTACATCGACATCAAGACGATGCCTTCGGGCACGTTTGCTGAGCCTCCCAAAGATGACCCTCCAAAGGCCGCCGGCGACGGCGAGCCCGCTGCATCCAGCAGAGCAACAATCCTGGTCCAGACAGCTGAGGTCATGTTGAAGTCGCGGCCGAAAGCAGCACCAGCATCAATGGATGAGCCCGCAGATGACAAGGGAGCCACATCCAGCCAGTACCAGCCGCAGGCAACTGCGCGCTTCGAGGGACAAGCATCTGGCCACGTGAAAGCATATTGGATGGAAGAGCATTTGCCTGAATACCAATATACAATGGTGACCAATGCAGACGGGGACGATGTGCCCGGCATCCTCTTTGAAGGTACGGCTTATGAGCTGGAGCTGATATCGGCATCCGACGTTGAGACCATTGCCAGCCAGACTCGCGTCGACAAGAAGTTTTCTGATTTTGCGACCCGTGTCAACAAAGTTTGCAGGGGGCATGGATCCTGTGCCAAGGTGCCAATGGACAAAGACCTTTGGATTGACTTGGAGGATTTCGCCAAAGCCTTCCGCAAGGAAGTGCCCCCAGATGTTTTCATCACTGTCGCAAACCTGTTTGGCACCGCAATGAAGATCGACAAGCATGGCAAGAGTAGGTTCCAATTCTTGTGTGCAAAGATTTCCCATTTTCCTGTCGACAATGGCCTAGGCATGCCGTATTATCCTGTGAAAATCCGTGCAATTCAGGGTCACTCCGAAGCTGCCTTGAAAACCGCAGGGGGTCTTTATGCCAATTCAACCATGGTGTATTGCTCAGACCATGTATCCCCCGAGCGAAAAGCCGCCTTCACTGGCGTGCCCCTGTGTGCCATGACTGAGGTTCCTGAGGTTGTCTTCCATCGCACGATGAAAAGCAGCTGGAAGAGCATCGCACAGAATGGCCTGATTCCAGGCGGCGGTGCAACAGTCAACAGTGGCCGTGCCCATATCTACATGGCAGAACACTGTATTGGCACGCAGGGGTATCGATCTGGATTAAGAGCAAAATGTCCAATCGAAGTCAAAATCGCAATGCGGCAAGCAGTTGAAGCTGGTGTCATCTTTAGTCGCACAGAAATGGATGGGATTTTGTGCTCAGAACGCATCCCACCGCAGTTTCTGGTCAGCATCTCAGAAGAAGGACAGGTGCTTTGGTCCCGCGCCGAGAGCAATCTCGAGCCCAGCACATGGACTGGCGCGGCATCTGCCTCAGCACCGAAAGCCAAAGCGGTCACCTTGACTGCCCGAGATGATGCAAATGACGACCCAATGGATGACACCAGCACGGGGCGACCCGATGCCAAGTCCACTGATGATGATGCAGCCACTGCCTCAATGCAAGTTGACCAGCCGCCCGCAAGGACGCGCCGTGTTTACATTGCACCCAAGTACTGCGAACCTTTCATGGGCTCCTGTCCCCTCTGCCAGGTTGAGTACGTCAGTGGCCAAGTGACATGCACCACATGTGGTTTTGAGCCACTCCCAGTGGACGAAAGTGGCGATACAAAAGAGGCCAACAAACCCAACAGGAGGACCCGCATCCTTGAACGGCGAATGCAAAGTCTCGCCGGGTTCGGAATGTTTGGGAAGATGAGCGGAAGCTTGCTGACAGCCTTGACGGAAGAGCAAGCCAACCTGCTACGCCGAGAACTGGGCCCCAGGGGAATCACATCCGTGGAATCAGCAGTCCTCAAAGACTGCCGCGACAGGCATCGACGTGCAAAAGCGCTGGGCTACGAGGACGTGGAAGACAGATACTCCAGCGACGTCACTTTTTGCGACCGCATCCACGGTGAGGGGAAGGACCTGCAGGACTGCATATTTGACGATATGTTCGCATATGGCAACCTCCCCGATCCCCCAAGGACCAGAGCTCAGATCTCGGCTGGCGTCGCCGCCAATGCCCAAAATGAGAACTGCTTATCTAAGTTGATTTTCATGTCTCAGCCTCGTGGCGTTGATGGCTTCCCAGTTGAGTTCCGCAAAACATGGAAGAAGGTCTGGGGTTTCATGTTTGGCCGCCACATTTTTACAGAGGATGAATATGTCAGCTACATCGGCCGTCGTGGCGCATTCCGTGGCCTGTTGACCTGGAAGGGTACTGTCCAAGTCCCTCTTGATGGCACTCGTGATTTCCTCGAAAAGGTGTATGAGGAAAACCTTCCCTTGGTTCGGAGCAATCTTGAACGCAAAGAGAAGCAGAGCGCCGCTGCAAAGGCTGGAGGTCCTGGAGGTCATAAGGCCGACCCCACGGTCGCGCCCACCATTGAGCGAAAGCGCAAAGCCGAAGCTGATGCATCCGCAACCGCACCAGATGTCACAGCCGCCTCAAGCTCTGCTCGCGCAGATGCCTCGCACGCTGATGCCCCAGCCGCACCATTTCTGGTACCTGAACCACCAACATCCAAAGCAGGAGCACGACCATTCTTGGAGCCTGAGACACCGCCCACTGCAAAAGCAGCAACCGCAGGAGTCACTTCGAAGGCTGCAAGCTCCGGTCGCCCGGATGCCTCTTGGAGTTGGAATCGTGATCACTATGGTGCACGCCGAGAATGGAGTTTCTGGCGTGGGGCTTGGTATTACCGTGACGAGGCCGGCGGCCGTTGGATCTTTTGGAACCGTTAGGGAGACGATGATTTTCTTTTGTAGCATAGCGCAAGATGTGGCATGGTAATGTGCCTTCCTTGCAACGCTGCGCTGGGTTTTACGGGCTTGAGCTTTTTAGAGGGACCTTTGAAAGACTGCACAAAATGTCTAAAACCAACTAAAGAAATTCGGCTACCCGCGAGGGTATGCTTTTCTGGGTTATTCGTTCTCCGCAGTCGTCCCTGCTCGCCCGAGGGGGGTGTAAAAACTCCTGCAGTAAAACCATGTATTGTATATATCATCGATCTGCCCGATAGCGTTGGTTCAAAAGAGCTGAGTGCTTAACGGTGTTAGCTTAGTATTTCACCCCATTGTCGGTTGACCTGGTAAAATACACATACATACATACATACATACATACACACATACATACATACATACATACATACAGATGTGTACATTTGCAGATCCATACACATGAACATACCCGGTGGAGCATTCCTGCTTGTCCAATACCACAACGCTGTCCATCTGAACTTGGTGCCGCAGGAATATTAGCACTTTTAGCACTGAAAGCACACCGTCCTGGCGCTCAGCGCGGCCGGTCTAGGACTGTCGAGGAGTTTACGATATGGTAAGATATGATTGTGGCAGCAGATAGGCAGCAGATAGGCTGATAGATAGATAGATACATAGATAGATAGATAGATAGATATATGCATATGTATATATATATATATTATATTATGTACGTATGTAATGTTATGTAATGTAATGTAATGTAATGGTATGGTATGGTATGGTATGGTATGGTATGGTATGCATGCATGCATGGATGTATGGATGTATGTATGTATGTAAGTAAATAAATAAATAAGTAAGTAAATAAGTATGTAAATGATATATGGCAGATCTTCTTGCAATCCCATCATGACATGAGCGAATTTTTGAATTATTGACTCCTGAGATGCATTGGGCAGTTGCCAACGTCCATCTCAGTTTCTCCACGGACCTCCTGCCACTAAGTTGGTTCTTGCAATGGGGGGAATGAGCTGGAGTTCTTCCGATGGAGTGAAGCAGTTGAAGACTCTTCGATCTTTTGAACGCTGTTTGGCTACTTCCTACATCTTTCCTACATCTTTCCTACATCTTTCCTACATCTTTCCTACATCTTTCCTACATCTTTCCTACATCTTTCCTACATCTTTCCTACATCTTCCCATTGGATTGGTGCCATGTCATGCCATGCCACACCGGAAATCGGATTTTGCGCTTAGGATGACCACAGGGCGTGCCATGGTCAGCGGTTCCGCCAGCCCTGTGGGCTCAGGCCATTTTGACCATCCTTTCAGATCTTCGATATCTATAAATTGATTGTAGATGTACCCTCTGGTTATTTAACATAGCCATGGTATAGATGGCCCATTTATAGATGGTTTACCTATTAAAAATGATGATTTTCCATGGCTATGTTAAATAACCAGATGGTAGATATAAATAGGCCTTTATATATAGGAGATTATCCATATGTCGATATCTTCGATTTTTTGAATCTCTTCCATAAAATGAAATGAAGACAGAGCGTTTTTTAATGATCATGGCATATCATGGCCAATGTGGGAATGAACACAGACACTTGAGACACTTTTGATTTTCCACCAGTTTCTGTAGCCTTCTTCATGTTTGCATTTTCAGCTTGGTGGTCCTGAAAGTTCAATGCTAGGCACGTGACCATAACGGGGGACATCCCGATATTGATATCCATCAGCATGTGTGATGTTCCTGGAAACGTCACCATGTCCTGAAAAACACAAAGTCTAGTTTGCGATCAGTTTTGGATGGTCTTGTCTATTGAGTCATTGAGCCATCCACCATAAAAAGGCATGCAAAGAACAGTCGACGTTGCTTCAAGCTTCCACACTCTGCCACAGGTCCTTCACAGCTGGTCACAAGTGTGGAATCCCAATGAATCCCATATTGTGATGGCAGGGGGAGGCATTCAGTTTCTTTTTCACTTGAAGCGCTCATTGATGTTGCAAGTGGGATGACGTTATTTGGGAATGATGGAACCGTGGAAACATGGTGTGCACGTTGTGCCGTGCTAAGGTTGGGATTGCACCTCCGGGTACCGGACACCAGATCGTCCCAGAGGCTTCATCAGGTGAGGGCCAGGGGGTGACGATCCGCGGGCAGCAAAGATCTTGATGTCTACCTGGTTCGGTGCAGGTAAGGCCATATCGTCATATATGGTCCACATTTGAGAGAACTCTGTGTGATTGGTTTCATGTTTAGACGATTTTTTGAAGGCTATACAGATCAAAGTCAATCAGAATGTTGATTTGAAATGCTTTAAAACAGTCTAGAAGCTGGACGATGCTGGCGTGATATGGTGGGACATAGAACATGAATGATGCCAGAGGCAGCTCTGTTGACCTTCCATTTCAGAATGTCAGCAAAGACGACTTCATCACCCAAGCAGAGTTCGTGCATGTTTTTGATCACACCCAGATTCTTCCAGATTATTGTGTTGGAAACACATGAGTCACCTTCCCATGGAACGCAATTCTGGAAAATATGATAAAATATGAACTTTCAGACGTCAGACTTCCATTCTCTCTGACCCAAAGTGGTCGTTGACCCGAAGCGTCTGTTTCAGCCCCTGCAAAGTCCAGCAACTACACCCCAGTGATGCAGGTGCTTTGAGCGCAAAGAGCCTGAGCAAGTTGTTAAGCGACGGCAAAGCACTTCCAGCATAGACAAGTTGTCTCATGAGGCCAGGGGCATAGCGCCTGGGGATCTTCGACCAAGCACCAAGTCCATGCAGAATGTCAAGGATTGATGATGCATATTTTGATGCATATTTTTGCGCTGTTTCCAGTGACCAGGCATTGTTAGCACCTGCGAGGGAGCTGCGGCGAATGTCACTGGCACCGCCAGTGGATGCAGAGAAGCTGGGGTCTCAATGGCAAGATAGTGCCGTACAGATCCGTACAGGTCGTATGTTCAATCGAAGTCCCATCCCTCACACCGTGGACTGATCTGAAACTGCTTGTTGGATGCTGGCAGCGACAGGGTTCAAAAGGAGCTTGAAGAGACGAAGAATCTTCTTGAGAAATGTCTGGGAACTTGGGCGGAGAGTATGGGACTGTGATGCCAAACATTTTGCAGATGGTGAACCTGGTGAACTGGGCCTTTTTGGATTTGCCTTGTTGTCTCAGCTCTGTCCTGTTTCCCGGAACACCAAGCAGCTTTGCAGAAGGTTGCAAGGCTCACGAGTAGCCGTTCCATGGTAGACCATGCTACGCCCAACTGTGCTCTGCTACACCCTTTCCAGGTATGTCTGACCTAGCAGATCAGAAAATGTATGATCAGATGCTTGAGAAGTTCAGGCCTGACGGAAGGGGAGAAGCCAGAACAGGACAATCAGGTTCTTATGCTGGACATATGAAAGTCTCGGACTCCAATTTGGTCCTTGTTTGTTCAATAAAAATCTTCACAGCAACGCGCTCGTTCTGTTCCAGTTGAAATCTAAAGCAATGAGAAGAAGTGCATCGTGCACTGCTGGTAAATAATGCTGCAGTGACCTATGGGAAGGATAAGTATCCCCAGCACCCACACAAACACACACACAGCGCAAAATCATGCAATGTCGTACTGACCAGTACACAGGTGTTTGGAAAATGTGTTTGGAAAATCAGGAGAATCAGTCTACCGGTCTACCGGTCACGCTTTCATCCTGCAGACTTGCTTCTTTGGCCTGCGAGTTGAGGCCCTTTTTGACAGCGCTCTCACGGGCAGAACCATGGCTGAAATTGGTGAAAGCGTGGTCACCTTGAGGCCCACAAAATAGATAGCAATTCATAGAAAAAAACATAGATACTGATAGATACTGATATACTTTGGTAAATTGATGAGTGGGGCCCGTGGACAATCACAGCCTGGCCCCCTGGGTGCGGGAAGATTCTTCCATTGTTGCGAAAACCAACAGAGGTTTCCTGTGACACCTGTGTAGCATTGTGTAGCACCATGTAGCAGTGGCACTTGTGGTAGATTGTAGCACCATGTTGCACTCCCTTGCAGGTGGCAACGGTGGCAACCATCCCGGATGTCACCCCCGTATCCTATTTATCCTCCCAAGGAACAACTCCTCCGCCGTGAGCAGCCTGAAACGCTGCTGGGCTTCTTGGAACCTAAGGCCGAAATGGATCCGAAAGGATCCGAAAGGATCAGCTGGTCACAGAAACTTCTTCCAGCGCGATGAATTCTGTTTTGTACATCAGCATTTTCTGAAGCTGTGAAAGAAAAAACATCTGTATGATCCTATATGATCCTAAAGTCCAATGCCATCCAAGCTACCTGACCAGGGAAGAATTTTGACGTTCCTGCTGGAGCTTCACCAGCAAAAGCGCCAGTGACCTTAAGGGCAGTGATTTCAAGGAGCATCACAAGGTCAGATGTGTTACTTCTGAAACCCATGGCAACTTTTGACAGCTTTCGTCACTTTCATCTCCAAACGTTGTCAGTTCTAGGATGTTCCAGGGCTCCAAAGGGTTGCTGCGAGGTACCGGCGCCAGACGCACTGCTCACTGAATGTGCTCTTGCAGCACCCTTCTCAGGAAGTTAGCACGATATGTTGTGCTTGATATTGCCCTGTATTGCACCTAAAGCATGTCAGATCGCTGAAATTCAGCTCTGCTTTACAGGTGTGATTCGTGGCTGGACGTGTATCACCGTGAAGGCCTTCTGGCCAGAACGCCTCAGGAGCTAAGCTCGTGCCTAGAAATGGGTTCCCAATGGCTCAAGTACCGGAAAAGTATCCAAAGATAAGAAAGATACCGTAGGATGCTGTAGGTATCCATAAGACAGGTCATAAGTCATAAGTCACTGATGAATTCGTATCATACTTTCAAGCCAAGTGAATCTCCCACCGGGGAGTCGACCAGTACAGGAGCTGCTGCTGGCGCTGCCCATGTTGCAACGTCGCCGGGTGTCGAAGATTCCGGAACCTGATTTGCTCAAGGTCGTGGAGGCGGGTCTAACCGTGGGGAGCCTGGTTGGATCATGTTGGATCCTGGATTGGGCGTTGGGCACCAGGCTCCATCGCCACCGGTGATCTCCCCGACGTGTGGGAGCTGAGTCACAAAGTTCACATGGTGAGACTTGGTGAGTATTGACATGTATTGACATGTATTGACAACCATTAGCAACTACAAGGCGATACAAGGCGTTTGATTTGATGGCATCCTGGTGTGGGTTGAAGATGATGCCAGAGTGTAGCAAGTTTGGGCACACTGAGGCGTCGCGCCGCCGTGGAGGCAGATGCCAAAGTCATGCGGGAGAAGCGTCTGCGAAGGTGTGGTGGCATCAAGTTGATTGGTTTTGCACTGAAGAGACCCGCTATCTATCCCCAAGCATTTGTGTGACAGGGCAACTAGAAGGCCAGAGGAGTCGCTGGAAGATCTACTGATTAAGAGCAGGGATCAAGCAGAGGCCTGGCATTTCCACAGGGATGGACTTTTTCCATACCTTTTTAAGCGGATGGCTGGGCAGTACTTTGCCAGATATGACCAAGAAATACCAAGAACATCCAAGGTTCTAAGAACATCACCGTGAAAGTTGGACAGAAAGGTGTGAAAGCCACACTTTGGATATGCTGGAGGCGTTGGACTATGCCGCCGGTGGAGACTCTGATGAGGCGCGAGAGACGGGGATATTGAAAGAGACAGAGAGGCCATCAAAAGCACCCACCGACCCCCAACACCGTGTTTGATACTATACTGTACTGATATGTACTGATACTATCCAATACTACCCAGCTGAACGCCGAAGCCAGATGAAGCCAGTAGATTTGGGGGTTTGGTGTGCCTGGCTGCCTGGCAGGTTCAGGTGGCTTTTGAGACTTTCCACCGTGCCGTCGCGGACCCAGTGGAAGCAAGGCCTCGATGTCTCAGTCCATCACTGACGGCCTTGGGATGAACGTCGGCAACCACTGGCTTGTTTGCCGACCCTTGGAGTCAGGGTCACGTGACGACGTTCCAAAAGTGCCTCTAGGGAACCGAGTTCAACATGCAGTCCTAGGGATTCCTAGGGCACCTGGTGATTGGAGACATCTCGGGAGGCTGAGGGTGTCCTTAAGCCTTATAAGCCTTTATTAACAAGGATTCTACCAGTAATGACTTAAGACCGAAGTCGCTCACATTCTGAACTAAGATCAGGAATCTTGAGTGTAACACCACTGCAGGGAACAGCAAGCAACAAGACGAATCTGTCAAGACATGTTAATTCTTCGTGCTCATCGTCTTCTCATCTCATCCTCCCATCTCACCCCTGAGGTGCGGCAAGCATTTGAAAAGAAGGCAGCTGCAAAGGCACCCTGCACAAAACAAAATGACCAAAGTGACCAAAGTTTAGGAAAAAGCTTTGAAAGAACAAGGAAGAAGCAGAGATGATAGAGGAGTCTATCACTCCTTTTTACTCCGAAGGTTCTCAGGTCATTGTCATGGCATTTGCCAGACTATGATCTTGGACCGTTTGAAACAATGTACTCGTATTATAATATAGCTTGAACAGACAATGCTGGACATTTTGAATTATTTCAAATCAGAATGTGTGCGGGTCGAGTGTTACCACTGTGCTGTAAAAGAGGGACTTTAGCCTCAGCTGTTTTGAACACATTTCAGCACATGTCTTCGAAAAAACCTTGCTGCTCCATGGCAGTGAGCTGGCACGCAGGGCCGTTTGAGTTTGGAAGGTTTCGAACCCAAACCGCACCTTGGCCAAATTCACAAACAGCACTGGTAATTGAGGGAGCGAAGGAATGATTTCCTGCAAGAGTGACCTAAATATGGAAGTCAATCTTTTCATTCCAATTGTAGAACTGAAGTGGGCGTTGTTTGCACATGTTTGCTTTAATGACCCGATTTCTGACGTTGAGATGGCAGTGGTGAGATGTAGTGAGATAGCTTAGTGGCTTAGTGCACCTTTCAGCAAGGCAAATGGCTGCCTTCCTAGTCGACGTGGGTGTTTGGTTCTCAGCTGACCCGATCTAGGCAGATCCGATCTAGGCAGATCCAGGCCGATCCAGTGTCCAGATTTTTTCGAGGTGAAGCGGAAGGCTTGGAGATCACGAGTCTTCTATGTGCAGGGCCCCCAACTGGTCCTGTTGCCCTGGCGAACATTGGCGAACATTCACCCTGACCCAGTCCAGTCATTTTCATCGATTTGATCGGTTTCTATATGTGCTACATGGCTCAAGGCCTTTTTGTCTTTTACCAGTTTGTCAAGCGTAAAACCCTTCCATCAATGGAGGCCCTACCTGTGGTTGTGCTGGTTGACCCTATTTCCACTGGAGCGCTTCTGGTGGACATCGTGTTGTCTCGCGGCTTCGGGTTCCTCGTCTTGTGGAGTAAAGAACGCGCAGAGTCATTGCCTATCAGCCACAAAGGAGTCTACAAGGCAGTCAAAGAGCAAGTCTCCATTCCTGAAACTGTGAAGGCAATCAAAGGTGCTCTCAGTCCAGGCTCTGCAATTATAGCTTGCATTCCTGGCAGTGAATCAGGTGTCAACTTGGCGGATCTCATTTCCATTTGGCTTGGCCTTCTTGCGAATGGCTCTGGGAACCGACCTTTTCCCGCAGGTGACCGCCGAAACAAACATTTGCAGGGCAGTGTGCTCAAAGGAATTGCTGGTTGCCGTGCCATTCGTGAAGTTTGTGGCTGTGCATGGGAAGAGGTGAGAGATTCTTGCAGGGAATTGGGGCTTCCTATGGTGGTGAAGCCGGTGCAGTCTGCAGGCACGGATGGAGTCAAACTTTGCCACTCCATGAAGGCAGTAGAGGAGCATTTCAGGCACTTGCAAGCCACACCGAGAAAAGTTGCGTCCTCTGACCATGCAATTCTGCTCCAGGAATTTATGGTTGGCCAGGAGTATGTGGTGGACCAAGTATCTCGGGATGGAGTGCACAAGACTATCATGACTTGGGTCTATGAGAAGCAACCGGCAAATGGTACTGATTTTGTCTATCTAACAATGCGTCCAGTGGAGACCAAGGAGTGTCCAAGTGATCTGATCCCATACACCCGTTCAGTGCTTGATGCATTGGACATTCAGAACGGCGCGACCCACACAGAAGTCATGATGACTGCTGATGGTCCCTGTCTTATTGAAGTCAACGTGAGGGTCATGGGTGGCAACGGCTCCTTTATCTCTTTGGCACGTTTGCTCACTGGGACTTCACATGCTGATGCGGTTCTTGATTGCATCGACCAGAAGCGCTTTGATGCCTTGCCTGATGTCCCCAGGGCCTTTCAAACTTCAGGAATGGTGGTGTTTCTCATCTCTTATTCTTCTGGCATTGTGGCAAGCACACCAGGCTACGAGGTGATGAAGAAGATGGATTCATTCCTCGAATTGCACACATCTATTTCACCCGGATCTGCAGTAGAAGCCACTGTGGACACTTTCACCTTTGCTGGCATTTTGGTGCTGGCTGGCTCCGAAGATCAGATTAGGGCAGATATTGTGGAGGTGCGTAGACTAGAAAAGGAAGGCCTTTTTTGCTTCACTGAAACAGATAGGTTTCAGTGCGGCGGGGCTTGAATCATGAGTGCTGAGTACATCGCGGCGATGGCCGATGCCTAGTAGCGTTCAAGTTCAAGCTTAGAATTGGTGACTCGCGGGCCGCCGCGGGCGTGTGTATATTTTTGCTTACAGACTTGTCACATTCTTAATTAACACCAATTTTGCAGCAGTCTCAGCTGATCCAGGCGAGCTGTTGTGCATCCTCTATTTAATGCCGTGGTTTAGTTTACTCTTGACTCCTGAGCCTCTGACAGAAGACACTGGCAGGGATGAAGAGATGTGGAAACCTTCCAGACCCGCTGGCTCAATTGCCTGTGTTGCATACCAGGGAGTCTGAAAAGAGGTGAGAAACGATAGAGGTGAGGATAGGTGAGGTAGATGAATGATAATGAATCTAAATGATACCCATACACAGTGTTGACACTTGGCCCAGGTTGACGAAACTCCTAGAGTTGGAAGCATGGCAAGAGCACCTCCAGGGTTCTGAGGTGCGCAAGGGATCCTTTTGACCATGTCAGATGAAGAAGGATGCATCCATTGTGAAGAGATGAATTGCGGATTTTCATGTGGTAGGGGAAACCATCAAACTCTGGCCTGCCAGGGCACAAAACTGCCAGTGCAGAGATTAAGAGACAGACGAAGTGTCCCCAAATATGGTTGACTGGTGTAGAGCCTTTAGTTGCTGTACTTGGACTTCGGATTTGGATGGGTTCGAAGAAATGGCATGAACCGACCACATCTGGATCACTCTGGATCCACATGCAATGTGTTGATTTGTGCTTCAGGTCCAATGGTTCCTTGACGCACAGGTGGGAAGCGGCTGCAGGGTCTTCTGGAATTAATGGGAGTCCATAGAAGGGTGGTACCGGATTTCGCACAAGACGTGTAAATACCAACATGGCGAGCTGGGCCAATCAGCAAAGATCAGAACCCGCAGAGGATCGGCTTGTGTTACCTTTTCAGACATCATCAGACATCCGCAAGGTGCCCCAATTCGGCATAAGCCGACATTTACCATCATTTACCATATTTACCCCAAGGCATCACAAGGCAAAGCGTGCAATTGGTGTGAGATGCAGGAAATCACTATACCACCTAATTATCTCTAGTCAATTAAATTACTATAGTTTGTTTCTTTGGTTTCATATCATGCATTCCCCAAATACGAAACCTACACAAGTACCTCGGATCCAACCAATCTGTCTTGGGAAAGTCGTTGCAGAAAGGATTTGCTTACAGTACGCTGTAACTGGACTTTGGTTGTTTCAGTTCTTTTTCTGGGTCATGCTCGCAAAACATGCAAGGACATTTGTAACTGGAATTCGCCAAAGCAAACAATGCACTGCGATGAGCTATAATGCAGTGCGATCTATAAGGAGCAGAACGAAACATCGAGACAGCGACATGTCATGCATTGTACGCGACTGAACGGGGCAGTTTTTTTCCGAGTTTCTTGACTCTCAATCAATGCGGTGCCACCTCAAACACAAGTCTGACCAAGTTGCGCCAGTCAAGTTGCACCTATTTCTCCCTAAGAAAGAAACCAACTATATGATACGACATATAGTTAAGTTATGTATGCATCTGTATTTCTACCTATATATATATTATATTATATTATTATACATGTATATATATATGTATATGTATATGTAAATGTATATGTATATGTATATATATGTATATGTATATGTATATGTATGTGTATATGTTACATTATCTTATGTTACAGTATATAATATAATATTTAATATTATATTATATTATATTATATCATATCATATTATATGATATTATATGTATGCGTATGATATACGTATGATATACGTATCAGAAGAATTCTGGCCCGCTGCTTCGCAGTCGCCTGGGCAAAGCCCAATCGAAGTGCTGTCTCCCTCTGTGGGGTCACCGCACCATTCGGAGCCGGAGCCGGAGCAGAGCGCTCAACAGCTTCAGGCCGCTGATGACTGGTGGTGGTCCGGGGATGGGGGTGGCAAGACCACCTGTGCAAAACCGGTGCAACAGAACTGAAATCTGCATGACTGCATGAATGAGAAATGTATAGAAATGTAACTTGTGGATACTTGTGGATACTTTTGCAACATTCATGAACATTCTGTAACATTCCCGTTGCACCCCGGGTGTGCAAAGCGCGTGTTTGTTGGTCCTATCCGCAGTGATATCTGCAACAGGTGAAGCCGACTGCCGGGATGGCTGGGCTCTCACCAACACAGGTGGAGGAGTCTGAGTGAAGCCCAATTTCAGAAATTTTGACATTGGATAAATTGGATACAGCAATTGATGATAATTGTAAGATATTGTGTGTAAGTTGGGATTCACTAAATTCATTTCGTTGGGCGCTGAAATTCAGAAGTTTTTTTGTCGTCTCTAGATATTTGCTTGTTTTGTATTCTTTTGTGGTAGAGTCGCTGATTCCCCGTCGTTCATGGGATTCCATGGCTGTCGTACATGTTGAGTCCATCGGAACCCGTCGTTTGAACCCAGGAGGGCGCTGCCGTTTGTTGGCGTGATCTGGCAAGGCAAGATCAGATGTGGACGGTGTGGACGGTGTGGACGGTGTGGACGGTGTGGACGGTGTGGACGGTGTGGACGGTGTGGACGGTGTGGACTAGAACAAGGATTCGTTTTCGAAAGTGCTTGCTGCCGTGCCACATGGTGCCACATGGTGCATGCCACGATTCCATTTCGACATGCAGCGAAAATGGAATACGCAGCTTCGGACTGGTTCCTGGAATTTCTAGACACCTTAGGAATTTATCGACAACCAGGCTGAAAAACTAACTTGCATTGCAATGAGTTTTCTTTGCCTTGTACGACAACTTTAGAGCAGAGAAGATGAATAACGGTTCATTTCACGTCCTTCATTGAGTCATCTGCTGTTTTTCTGTAAACATTTTTTTTGGGGCCCTCGGAGATGCACAATTTAATGAATTTAAGACACAACCTCCCAATATCGAGTTGCTCGGTTTCAGTGAACTTTTGGCGCATCGATCACTATCCTGTCTTTTGGCTGGGTGCTGCCCGGTGCTGCAGGCAGAAGGCGCCATGGTATGTGAAAGTGTGCAGGCACTCAGGAGATCTCAGGAGGGTTTGCATTGAAACTTACTGGATCGACTAAGTTGCAGCTGGTTACTGGACATCCCTTCCAAAACCATCAATTTTCTTAACAAGTAGTCCATGACTGCGCCAGTTACTTGCGTAGATTTCACAATTCCAAGCAGATGGTAATGGCTGTATCTGAGGTGCTTCTCCCTCTTGGGAGTTGACAGAACTCTGAGGTGGGTGTCGAATGGCGTGGCATGGTGGAGGATGGTGTGTCACATGTGTCTGTTATAAATTGTATTGATGTGTAGCTGGAGCTTAGACTTAGACCCTACAGATCTCCACAGGCCAACATACAGTATCTACACTTGAGTTTTCTTAGGAGACCGGGCAAAGGCCAAACAAACAAAACGGTTGGTATTATTATAGCCCATCCCATCTGGGGATGCACATGCATGGATGTTTGGAGCATCCTTTTGCAGGACATTTTGATGGAACATGTGGCCAAAATATGTTGCTGCGCCAAGATATTGCGCCTGCCACTCATTGATGTACTGCGCCTGCCACGTGACTTGTCTTAAGTTCTTAAGATGTTGCGCCTGCCACTCATTGATGCTTTGCGCCTGCCTATCTATATCATAGAAAATCATAGAAAATCATAGAAAATCAGTACAATCAATATCATAGATCATAATTATAATCAAGTGGACTATCAGTAGATTTCCATGATATGTAAGTATGGGGGGAAGGGCATACCAAAAAATACATCACCACGTCATCAATCACTACTTGGGGGGTCGCTAAAGGGGAAGGTAGGAATGTTGGAGAGTCTGGGTCAGACCAAACTGCACACCCTGAAAACTCCAAACAAGGTTTCAACGCACACTGCAAGTCACTAATTCAGAGCCGAACGTTCAGCTCCGAATTGGTGATGATCAGCTTCCTCACTTCTAGTTCCAAACAAGTTGGGAGGGACCTACACAGGTGATTTTTTCTCAACAACCTCAGCCTGGCTAGTCGAGTTACGGAGCCGAACGTTCAGCTCCGAAACTGTGTCGAACAGGCATCGCTGAATCACTATTTCGATGATGTAAATCCTAGATTCTCATTGGGTTTTCTTAAGGGTTTCTCACCCAGACCCTTCCTTCCCCCTTTAGCGACCCCCCAAGTAGTGATTGATGACGTGGTGATGTATTTTTTGGTATGCCCTTCCCCCCATACTTACATATCATGGAAATCTACTGATAGTCCACTTGATTATAATTATGATCTATGATATTGATTGTACTGATTTTCTATGATTTTCTATGATATAGATAGGCAGGCGCAAAGCATCAATGAGTGGCAGGCGCAACATCTTAAGAACTTAAGACAAGTCACGTGGCAGGCGCAGTACATCAATGAGTGGCAGGCGCAATATCTTGGCGCAGCAACATATTTTGGCCACATGATGCATCAAAATGTCCTGTAAAAGGATGCTCCAAACATCCATGCATGTGCATCCCCAGATGGGATGGGCTATAATAATACCAACCGTTTTGTTTGTTTGGCCTTTGCCCGGTCTCCTAAGAAAACTCAAGTACAGTACCTTGGATGCGCAACTTCGTCCACTAAGCTCTCTGAAAGGTTCTGCAAGTGCCTCGTACCAAGAGATATCCACCAACTGGCGCCTTGATTGAAGTTCTCGAAGTTGTTCTGGACTGGTGGACTATCCAGGTAAATGAAGCACCAAACAGTCTGCAGGCAGCATTTTCTTAAACAAAACATTACCGCAGGATTCATGGATTCAGAGTCCAGCTTGAGGCAAACCTTGAGTTTCTCCTTGTCTCCAATTCCCAATTTTGACTCTTGAAAGACTCGCAAGTCCAAATAGTCCAACAAGCACCAGTAAGAAGTGATGGAAGACACGTTTGCCAACTACTTGGAAGGTGTTGACTTTTTATCTCGCTGTGTCAGACACCACCAATGATATTGATATTGAAAGCATTTGATGTTTCATTTTCAATCCTTAGAGCCTCCCCGGAGTTCTGACATGATGTATTTCGTCCAAACCGATGCTGAGGCTGATTGGACTTGCCATGCTGCTTAGCTGAAGTTGGAACTTGTTTCAAGGCATCCCGTTGCAATTGGCTGGAACTAGTGTACCAAGCAGACCACATATCAAGCATTCACCTTGACTGAATTGGCTGAAGAGGCAGTGAAAGGTGGTTTCAACCTGTCTTCATGAAAGGAAGGACAGTGCTGTTTGCCAACTTGCTGAAAAGAGAGCGACCTAAATTGAACAAACATCCATCGCCTAAGGATTTGAAGAGTTTGCAAGACCAGCTGATGACTTGAGTGCCTGGTGAGTCTCTGTATGTGAAAAACCGCGCTTTTGTCACCGAAAGGTTGAGGCTTTTGCAATCCAAAAATTACACCTGGAAGAATACTGCAACCAAATCGGCCACTGATTCCCAAGCTTGGAAATCCGCTGCGATCAGGGAAGACATGGGAAAACACAAGAATCTGCACCACTTCTGTGTGCATAGGACATCATAGGACCAGCTTTAGTCCTTTGGGGTCACTATAGTTCCAAGAACTTCTCATTACCAAGCAGTGCATGCTTTTCTGTTCCATGCCAAACTTCAAAGGCAGGTACACCACGATATTTGTATATTATACCAGTAGTACCGCACAAGGCGGTGGCGGAAGTTTCAAAAATGGAAAACCTATAGGAGAGGTGAGTTGGTGTGACGCAAAAATGGCAGAGCGAACCCCTCTGTGTCTCTCTTTCGCCATCTATCTACAGAGCTACCTTTCTAGCCATCTACCTATCTACCTGTCTATTCATGTATCTATCGATCGATTTGTTTATTCACCTATCTATTAAACTGTCTATCTTTCTGTCTATCCAGCCATTCTCTGCTGAAGATGCCTCTTGTACTGCGCCTGCCACGAAAAATGCATCTGTGCAGATCCTCTACCGCTGTCACACGGCATTAAAGTCAAAGGCGGAAAAAAATCCACCTATAGGGGTAGATGGCCACACCTTCCCATATAGACCCATGCAGTAGACCTTGGCTGCGACATTAATTATAACAGAAGAAAATTAATTACTGCTGGGAAAAAGCGTATTGAAAAAGCCACACGTGTTCTTAAAAGGATCCAGAAAAGTAAAATACCTGTGCAATTTAAACGAAAAATGATCCATTCTTGCGGATTTGGAACTATGGCCTATGGGTCTGAATTACAGCATATCCCATGTGCAGAATGGAAAACAATCCGTACAGCAACATTGGCCGCAATGCATAGGAAACAGGCAAGTGCGAGCCCGTGGATTGGAACCATGTTCAACCCATGCCCAGTTGACCCACAGTTAAAGGGGGTAATTCGTGCCTGCTTGTTTTGGAGAAGGTTCTTCCGAAATTTCCCTTCCTTAAAAGCGGGGTTTCTTGATCGAATTGTTAATTCACTAGCAGGACCAGGCCCAGCAGTTAGTCTGGGTAAGACCTTCAGAGCTATTGGTTGGGCACCTTTGCCAGATGGATTCCTCCAACATACTCTTGGATTCCAGTTTAATTGGGTTGCGTGTTCAGTGACATTCTTGAAGTATTGGCTGCGCGTCTTATGGACTACACATGCTGCCCACAAAGCCCAATCACGGAAAGATTTTGATATAAGTTCTGTTGATGAATACTTGATGATGAAAGTCTTGAATAAGTTTCCATCCGACCAAAAACAACTGTTGGTGACGCACTTTACAGGGGCTGCTTGCACCGGCAACATGTATGCAAAGTTCAATCCCAATGTTCACTCCGAATGTTCTCTTTGTGGTGTAATTGATGATCGTGAACATCGCATTTTTAATTGTAAAAAGTATGAAATCCAAAGATTCAATGCCAAACCTCTTTTCAAATGGTTAGCAAAACAATCAGCTGCAACGAAACTTCTTGGCTTGGTTCCCTTGGATTTGACTTTTTCAAAAGTGTTGTGGGAAAATCAGTTAGAATGGCCGGAGAATGTGATTCCCCTGGTCGATTTGGAGATTGCGCATGTGTTTGTTGATGGCTCGGCGTTCCATCAAGATTTGAAAATTTGTTGCATCTCAGCCGGTGCTGCAGTGAAGTGCCAGCCTTTTCAAACTGATCACGCAAAGATCTTTGCTTCCCCGGTTGCAGGTGTTGATCATAGTGCATATCGCGGTGAAGTC